AAAGCCAGGAAGAGGGACCAACTTCAAAAGACAGGGCAATATACAGACACACACAGGCAAGACAGTTTAATTAGCCAAACGGGAAGTCATGTGTTATATAGTGTAACAAAGAAAGGGGTGAGTGTAGGTATTTAGACAGAGTAGGATTTCCTCCATCTTTAGGAAGCTGCTTTTCCCATTGGAGCAGGAAGGATGCAGAAGGGGGACGGATGGATAGATGGACCAATAGAACAGCACGAGAGGACCGGACCAGTTTACAAGGGCACATTTGAAATTGTATAAAAACAACTGAATGGAGGAGGACAGCGTTCCTTCTCCTCCTGTAGTCAGGTTGAACGGTTTTGCTGTTGAGGTCAGGGCTTCAGATAGAGATGGAACCCAGAGCTCTGTAAATTGCTTTATTCGATGGTCTGTTTAGTTATGATAATAAATGTTTGAAAATTGATATTTGATTCCGATTATTCTTCATGAAAGAACACGCTGCAGTGTTCATCATAATGAAGAAAGATCAACAGTGTGCATCATTAATAGTTTTTGGACAACAATTGAGCTCTGTGGCACAGAGGAATAACATATGAGGCTTTGACTACACACAGTCAACACTTGTCAATAGGATCAATTCACTGTTTTCTTTTTTCATAGGTTTTCCTGGCAATAAGAAAATATTGATTACCAGTCTTTTCCTTTGAGACTAAGAGGATGTTTCAGTTGAAGTTGTGGTTGTTATGGTTACAGTAACATTTAATGGATAAAGGTAAGCCAGTGCAGTATTTTTCTAAATGACTAAATCAAGTCTGAATGTGTGCAATCCTTACCTTATTCTCCAGTCGGCCAATTAAATCAGCCAGGCGGTTGATCTGAGCTTCCAGACCTTCTTTCCTCACCTCCACTGCACCTGCAACACACACACACAGTCTATATAACACAGAACAGTATGAATACACATTAGCTTTCATCAAGTGTCTCTAGGTTGTGAATAGATATGATGCAGCTGAATTATGTTAATTAGAATGTCTTTGAGTATACAAGAGTACTGCAGATTGTCATGTCTCTTATTGCTGCAGTAATTATGTCATTTAAACCTGAGAACAAACATCTCATCCATGAATGTACGCACAGCTGATTTCTGTGGACTAAGTTACCACCAGGGCTATCATTCTCCTATTTCATTTATTCCTGTTTTGTTCATATTTATAACCAGACTGCTGCTGACACACTGCAGGAAAGTGTAAAAAGTAACTATAGTAAAAGCACAGGCCGGTCCCAAGCCTGGATATATAGAGAGGGTTGTGTCAGGAAGGGCATCCGACATAGCAACATGACAAATTTAAACATGCAAATCATCAGTGTGAATTGCATACCGGATCAGTCGAGGTCCAGGTTAAAAACAACCGCCACCAGTGCTGTTGACCTACAGGGTGCTGGTGGAAATTTGACTACTGTTGGTCGAAGAAGGAGAGGAAGTAGAAGGATTCGTAGACAGAGAGAGAAGAGGAAAGGCAGGAGTATAGGTCTGAGAATAGGGACTCAACGTTGGCACAATGACAAGGAAAGGTAGAGAACTGGTGGACAAGATGGAGATAAGGAATTTAGATATACTGTGTGTGTAGGAGACCGGTTGGACGGTCAGCAAAGTGCAAAGTATTGGAGGGGGATAAAAACTGTTTTATTATGGTGTGGACAGGAAGAGAAATGGGGTAGGAGTGATCCTTGAAGTAGGAGTTGGTGAGGAATGTTTTAGAGGTGAAAAGAGTGTCAGACAGGGTGATCAGTTTGAAGTTGGAAATTGAAGGGGTAATGTTGAATGTAGTCAGTGGTTATGCTCCACAAGTAGGGTGTGAGTTAGAAGTGAAGGAGAGATTCTGGAGTGAGTTAGATGAGGTGATGGAGAGTATTCCCAGAGGGGAGAGAGTGGTGATTGGAGCAGACTTCAACGGACACGTTGGTGAGGGGAATAAAGGTGATGAGGAGGTGATGGGCAGGTTTGGTGTTGAGGAAAGGAACATAGAAAGACAGATGGTGGTGGACTTTGCTAGGAGGATGGAGATGGCTGTCGTTAACACCTATTTCCAGAAGAGGGAGGAACACCTGGAAAGGTGGAGGTCTGCTCTGGGAAGAAGAAGAATGAAAGTCAGTTGTAGTAAGACAGAATACATGTGTATAAACAAGAGGGAGGGAAGTGGAACAGTGAGGTTACGGGGGCTGAGGTCAAGAAGGTGCAGGAGTTTAAGTATTTGGGGTCAACAGTCCAGTGTGATGGGGAGTGTGGGAAAGAAGTGAAGAGGCGAGTGCAGGCGGGTTGGAGTGGGTGGAGAAAGGTGTCAGGAAGAAGCGGCAAGAATCAAAGGAAAGGTGTACAAGACAGTAGTGAGACCAGCTATGCTGTATGGGTTAGAGACTGTAGCAGTGAGGAAAAGACAAGAGGCAGAGATGGAGGTAGCAAAGATGAGGATGTTGAGGTTCTCTTTAGGAGTGACCAGTATGGACAGGATTAGGAATGAGCACATCAGAGAGACAGCTCAGGTCGGCTGTTTTGGGGACAAGGTCAGAGGTGCCAGATTGAGATGGTCTGGACAGAGGAGGGATAGTTGTTATATTGGTAGAAGGATGTTGGAGATGGAGCTGCCAGGCAAGAGGTCAAGAGGAAGGCCAAAGAGGAGATATATGGCTGTGCTAAAAGAGGACATGAAGTTAATTGGGGTGAGAGTAGAGGATGCTGAGGATAGAGTTAGGTGGAAACAGATGATTCGCTATGGCCCTAACGGGAACAGCTGAAAGAAGAAGAAGAATATTGGTGATATACTAACAATATAAAGCTTACATTCAATTAGTAATGCATGTTGGCAGCCGAAATTAGAAGATGAAGAAGTAAAATCACAGTTACACTGAGTAGGTACTGCAAGTACATGAAGAATTATACCATGTAAAACTTTCCTTATCTAACTTTTTCCCCATTGTGGGATCAATAAAGTCCTACCTAACCTTATCCTTCCCTTTTCATTTCCTACAGTTTACGCAGAATTAGAGGTTAGCCTCCTTGAGGTGCATGGCTTAATTGGCTCTTATTATACTGTGATTTTTAGACACCCATCCACACAGAGCTGCAGTATTTCTAATTAGCTTTGATCTCAAAACAATATTTCGCTTTAGCAGAAAATGTTTACTTTTTAGCAAGAAACACCACTGGACTAGAGAGGCAAGTCAGTCATTTTCATTGATGCTTTTTAATATCTCACTGTCCCTAACTGCAAAACATAATGGAATCATATGACTTCTCCTTATGTGTGGACAACAGAGAATTGTAATCAGAACAGAATCAAGCCTGCTTTGTGTTGGTGGCGTACAGATTGGTACTACTTGGAAGACAGAATTGTTTCTGTGAAAAAATATGATTATCATGAACTCATTAGGCTTGTTAGCACATTAGTAGGTTAGACCATATTTTAAACCACAACTGCTACACACATATTTGTATGATACTTTAATAAGCAAGTTGCTTAGTCGAGCCTCTCTTCATCTACATTATGTTTTTTTCTTTGTTTAATTATGCTGAGTATTTTATAGTCACAATTAAAATACCCCTCCCTGGAACCAACACCTTAACATGGTGGGGGGGTTTGAGTACCTGAATGATCCCAGGAGCTATGTTGTCGGGGGCTATATGTCACTGGTAGGGTCTCTCATGGCAAACAGATCCTGGGTGACAGACCAGACAAAGGGCGGTTTATAGGCCACTTATGACAAATAAAAAATCAAGGCTCATGTTTACCCCGCCCAGTGAGGGATCACTGGGGCCCCACCCTGGAGCCACACGTGGGGGAGAGGCTCACGTGCGACCGCCTGGTGGCCAGGCTTATGCTCACGGGGCCTGGTCAGGCTCAGCCCAAAAACATAACGTGGAGACACTCTTCGGTGGGATAACCACCTGCTGGAGAGGCCGTAGCAGGCCGGTGCATTGTGTTTTGGGCAGTGCCCAAGTGTCCAGTGTCCGGCCGACCCAAACCTGGTTTTTGGGACTTGGAGTGTCACCTCACTTGAGGGGAAGGAGGCTGAGCTGGTGCAGGAGGTTGAGAGATACCGTCTAGATATAGTTGGGGTCACTTCCACTCACAGCTTGGGTTCTGGAACCATTCTTCTCGACAAAGGGTAGACCCTCCTCTATTCTGGCGTTGCTCAGGGGGAGAGGCGACGGGCTGGTGTAGGCTTGCTTATAGCCCCCCAGCTCAGCTGTCAGGTGTTGGAGTCTACCCCGGTGGATGAGAGGGTCATTTACCAGCACCTTGGACTCGGGGAACAGTCTCTCACTGTCGTTTGTGCTTACGCACCTAATGGCCGTGTAGAGTACCTTTTTAGGGTTCCTGGCGGGCGTGTTGGAAAGAGCTCCCACGGGGGACTCTGTCATTCTACAGGGGGACTTTAACACCCACGTGGGCAATGACAGTGATACCTGGAGTGGCATTATTGGGAGGAATGGCTTCCCTGATCTGAACCCGAGTGGTGAGTTGTTATTGGATTTCTGTGCTAGTCATGTTTTATCCTTAATGAACACCATGTTCAAACATAGGGGTGTCCATCAGTGCACATAGCACCAGGACACCCTAGGTCGGAGGTCAATGATTGACTTTGTCGCCGTCTCTTCTGATCTTCGACCATATATTTTGGACACTCAGGTGAAGAAAGGGGCTGAGCTGTCAACTGATCACCGCCTGGTGGTGAGTTGGATTCGATGGAGTGGGAAAAAGCTGGACAGACCTGGCAGGCCCAAGCGTATAGTGACGGTCTGTTGGGAACGTCTGGCAGAAGCCCCAGTTAGGGAGGTCTTTAACTCCCACCTCCAATTGAGCTTCAAACAGGTGCAGAGGGAGATCGGGGACATCGAGTCCAAATGGAATATGTTCCTCACCTCTGTTGTCAGGGTGGCTGCTGGGAGCTGTGACCGTAAGGTTTCTGGGGCCTGTCGCAGCACAATCCCCAAACACACCGTGGTCACCGTAAGTAAGGGATGCCGTCAAGCTGAAAAAGGAGCTCTATTGGGCCTGGTTGGCTCTTGGAACTCCTGAAGCAGCTGGCAAGTACCGACAGGTCAAGCAGGACACAGCCCTGGCAGCCGCCATGGCAAAAACTCGGGCCTGGGAGGAGTTCGGTGAGGCCATGGAGGAAGACTTTTGGTTGGCTTCAAAGAGATTCTGGAGAACTGTCTGGCGGCTCAGGCAGGAGGGGTAAGCAGTGTTTTGCCAACACTGTTTATAGTGGAGGTGGTGTGTTGCTGACCTCAATTGAGGATGTCATCGGCCGGTGGAAGGAGTATTTTGAAGATCTCCTCAATCCCCCCGAGATGCCTTCTGTAAAGGAAGCCAGGGATGGGGACTCGGGAGGGGACTTGTCTATTACCCTGGCTGAAGTTGCCGAAGTAGCTAAGAAACTCCTCGGTGGCAAGGCTCTGGGGGTGGGTGAGGTCCGCCCTGAGTTTATCAAGTCTATGGATGTTGTGGGGCTGTCTTGGCTGACACGCTTCTGCAGTATTGTGTGGAGCTCGGGGACAGTGCCTCTGGACTGGCAGATCGGGGTGGTGGTCCCCCTTTTTAAAAAGGGGGACCGCCACCCCAAAGAGTGTGTTCCGACTATAGGGAGATCACATTTCTTAGCCTCCCCGGGAAAGTCTATGCCAGGGTACTGGAGAGGAGAATCTGGCCGATAGTTGAACCTCGGATTCAGGAGGAACAATGCGGTTTTCACCCCGGCCATGGAACACTGGACCATCTCTATACCCTCACTAGGGTGTTGGAGGGTTCATGGGAGTTTGCCCAACCAGTCTACGTGTTTTGTGGATCTGGAGAAGGAATTCGACCGTGTCCCTCATGGCATCCTGTGGGAGGTACTTCAGGATTGTGGGGT